CGTATTAATAATGACAAACTGATGAGTACTGTGGCAGCAGGAGTGATAAGTGCTTAGAGAGGAAACTGTGAGGGCTGCCTTTATGAAAACTCTTGTAACTATAGCAGAATGCATTCACTTTTTTCTTTCATGAGTTACAATGGTGGACAAAAAGGAAAAAGAAACATACTGGTAAAATGAAAAGGTAGAGAATATATGTTTGTATAAAATAACCTTAATGTTGGAAAAACAATGAGTTGGAAATCAGAGAAAGAAAGAAAGCAAAACAAAAAGATTTTATCGGGTTAGATCAAACAGTAATCCTTATTTTTCTTGGTGCCAGCAGGAAGAGTGAATAAAAACACAACTACGTTTGCTGTATTGTTGACATTGTACAGAGTCGAGATTAACAAACCGTGGGAAATATTATTTTGTTCTGACTTGAGCTCTGTGTTAATGAGCCTTTGAGTGTTTAAATAAATTTATTTTATTAGCGGGATGTTCTGTGATTTGCTTGAATTCCAGTCAAGAGTAATTGTGAATAGCTTTTAAATTATATTTTATGTTGGATCTCAAATCAAATGGGGCTAAAAGGAAATGAGCCTCATAATACAACTGGGATAGAACAAATTACCTAAAAACAATCAAAACATTAACAGGGAGGAAAGTAATAGAGAAAAGGCTTTTATGACACTGACTAAATAGCTTGATTACGATTGAGGACTAAAAAAACACCTTTTCATTTGGTACAAAATTTAAGATTCAAATAAGCATTTGAAACATGATTGTACCAACAGCTAATAATTCTACATTGTGAAGGCATGCAGGCCAAAATACTAGATTACATCCAGAGCTAGAGTTTCTGTGTGTTAAAAATGTTACGAAGGAAATACTCACACAAACATACACACTCATGTGTATGTGGCTGAAAACAGAAGCAAACTCACCCTGAAAGAGCCCCAGATGTAAACTGTTCCATCCTCTGTGAGTGCGGCTGTGTGGCTATCACCTGCCGACACCTGCACCACCTTCTCATCCAGTGCCACCTTTTCTGGAACCATCTCAGACCCCTCCTCTGTTGTGTCACGACCAAGTGCCCCTTCGTCATTACAGCCAAACGTGTAGACCTGAGGGGACAAGAAACAACAAATCTGTTTAGTTGGGAAACTAAAGACATGTAGTAACGATGTTAGAAGAAAACAATTTAAAAAGAAACAAAGGATTCAGTTCACTTACATGGCCAGTGTCGCTGAGACACACTGTGTGCATGCCTCCGGCTATCACTTGCACAGTTTTGTCTGGCAAGGTCACAAGGGCAGGTTTCTTTCTCTCGATGACGTTCTCCCCTAAACCCAACTGTCCAACGTCCCCCTGGCCCAGGACGAGAACCTGTCCTGCCTCCTTACCATGACTCCTGTGGGAAACTGGTACAAATACACACACATACACAATAAATTGTTGGTGAGATGATGATCATTGCCAGTACGGTAAATATTATTGTCTTAACATTTTATTTGATTCTTCATGTACAAAAATACACCTGTAGTATTTTAAACTGAATCTAAGCTGTAGTCTCAAGTTAACTATTTATAAAGACACACAAAAGACACAGTTTTGTTGTCATGGGTCAACTCAAGCCATTATCGTGTCATTATTAAAAGAGAAATGAACTTGCCTTTTGCTTTCTTGGCATCTACATCCTCCACAACAGCCTCGGACTTCCTCTTGGTGGCGGTCTTTTTTGCAGGCATGACAGAAACACTTTTGAAAAACATTTGAAAATATTGGTGTAAGATTTTAATAATGAAAGATGGGTATGAGTCACTGAGCTGGGATGCTGGTGGTATTAAAAGCCACACTGAAGTCTCAAATAAAACATAACTTCATGATAATGTCTATGGCTTAGTCTAAACAAACACTGGGGGGGGGGGAAGCAATAGATGCTTTCAACACATGTCAGTTTGCAGGCGAACAGTAAAAGATGATCTGTAATGTATTGGCAGCTAGTGACAGTCTGGTCTTTAACAGGTGTGGCCTGTGGAGCAGCAGAAATACTGCTCATTGATGCACAGAATACGTACTTTTCATAGCGGATATTTCAACATGTATACAGGAGAACAGAACCACCATGAATGATTACTGTAACTGTGCTTTTTCTGATGTGACAAGTCGAAGCCTCTGCACTATCAAAGTGAATTAGTGCTCCAAAAAAATTAATCCAGAGAGAACTTATCAAACTTTTCAACATTTTGATGATTGATTTATCAAAGCAAACATGTAATTTTACTGGTTCTATCATATAAAACACGAGGTTTACTTGACAACCCCTGGGATTTGTAAGACAAAATGAGCAGTCTGAAAAAAAGTCCCTGGAAGTTTTGAATGGTAGTTTTTACTAAGGTGCTATTTTACAGTTTAAAATTAATCAGAGTATCTGATCATTAAAACCGTCAACTTGTGATGACATCCAAATATTCTGAACTGTTAAGGAGAAAGATTTAACAACATTATCTCATCAAAGTTAATAAGAAAGATAAAAACTAATGCACCACTTCAAATATTTTTTGAACAACAACGTCGTGTGGCCTTGAATGCAGCTGTAACCTACGTCAAGTAATGGACATCCTCATAAACTCACAAGGACACAAGTGGACAAACGCTTGAATGGATGAATCTGTATTTTGACTGAGCAGAAGCTGTTGAGGTGAACAGCTGTCAGAGGCTCGTTTGAATGGCTGGCACCGTGTGAGGCTCCATCACTACAGGCAACTGTAGCAGCATAGCTGGCATGGAAGTGGACACTTGTGCTACGATCCAAACTGCGCTCGAACCGCCACGTTTGGAGGGAGGTGTCGCTGCGTTGACATTTAGCCTGGACGCACAGTTTAAAATAAGCACCCTGAGCCACCGCTGCCTGTCCCCATGTGTCCTTGCTAACATGCACCATGTTCCCGAGCGTTAGCATCAGGCTGCTGCTATTCAGTCTAACTCTTCTTCGCAAATGAACGTGACACGTGTGGCTGCTAACACAGAGTAAACATAACACGTACACAACTCGAGTTTGCTGGCACACACTCAATGTTAGCAGCCTCGCGTCCATGTACAACTAGTCCACACACGGAACGTGAGCTAGCTAACGAGCTAACGGCGCTAACATGACACTAAATGAATGAGCCACGATGACACAGTGTGTTGAATGAACCGCCAACACGTGGATGAAGTAGCACTGATCACTGGATGAGTATTTACCAGGTGTTTATGAGCTGGTGACGCACGAACCTGAGAGAAGCAGAAGTCTGTAGTTTGCTGGAAGTCAACGAGCTCCGTCTGTTCCCGGTCTTCAGCACGCTCCAAGCGCGTGACGTCACAACATGTGGGACCTTAAAGAGACAGGAGCCCTCAGACCAAGGGAACGATAGTGAAAGTACTGTGATCCTGTGAGGAGCAAATACTGATATCATGTACTGAAGTAAAAGTACTGTGATCCTGTGAGGAGCAAATACTGATACCATGTACTGAAGTAAAAGTACTGTGATCCTGTGAGGAG